AAAAAAAAAAAAAAAATGTCAACCAGGCATGGTGACATGCGCTTAGTGTCCCAGCTACTCGGGAAGCTGAGGTGGGAGGATTGCTTGAGCCAGGGAGGTTGAGGCTGCAGTGAGCTGTGCTCATGCCACTGCACTGCAGCCTGGGTGACAGAGCAAGACCCTGTCTCAAAAAATAAAAGGCAAAATTCAAACCATAAATCACGAGTGAGCTCAGTGAGGAAAAATATGGAGAGAAACTGAATGCATTTTAAGATAAAAACTAATGTGGCTACCTAGAAAGTTCAAGAATGTTGAAGGAAGGTGGGCTAAGGTTCTCCTGGAGTAAGTGAGCTTACCTAGCCTAAGCAACAAAGGGAGTTTATTGGAAGGATCCTGGCATCAGAAGTGGCAGAAGCCAAGGAAGTGGGGGAAGGAGCCTGAGCAGCTGGGGGTAGCGAGGGGCTTCCTGTGAGAGCATGTGTTGCCATGGCTGCATCCTCATGTCTCTTGTCTGCTCTTTGCTGTGTATCTGTACGCAGCCTCTCTCCTTCCAGACAACATGATGGAAAATAAGGTCACCGAACACTCTTGGTTGGGGATGGGGAGGTCACTAGTTCAGCAACTTTGAAAGTGAAAGCCCTGTCTTTCCCAGATTCCTGGGAGGTAACTAACTGATCCAGTTTGGATGGTGGGTTTGTTCCAGGACCAGCCAGCTGTGTCAGGGGATGGTGTTACATGTCTGAGTGTGCCCACACCCAGCCACAGATGGAAGGGGGTACCCGGAAGCGGGTGCACAGTTCTCAGAAGGGGGTTGGCTAAGCAGATAGTCCAGTAGATCCCATCCAAAGACGCATATAAGCATAGACAAATATGGCTCCAATGAAAGGCTAAGACTCAGATGTGCCGCTGGTTTGATGAAAGATGCTAACAGTGATGACAACAATGTGAAACTGTGAAGAATAAGGGAAACATGGATCCATTGCTTGAGAGAAACTGAAATGTCAGCAAATGCCAAGAAGAAAGTACGAGTAAGCATTCCAAGTTCTTCATTCCAGGAAATCTTTTCAAACTAGAAAGGATAGGACAGACAGGCCCAAGATGACATTCACTGCCTCCTGTCTCACTTAAATGGAGCACCTCTGAAGCTAGTAAACACTTCAGTTGGCATTTATTCAAATCCATGCACGTCTACATCATCATAAATCTAAAATCAGTACTTAACCCGAAAAGGTCGGATGCAGAATGATTTTAAGATCTGTGGGGAATAGTACAAGTTTGCAGTGATATGGCTGCCAAAGAACCTCAAATGTACTCTAAAAAATATGTATGTGTATATACACACAATGTCAAGATTTCAGGGAGGGGTGTGTGTGTGTGTAAATATGTAAATAAAATTTGGGAAATACAGAAAAGCACAAAGAAGAAAGCAAGTTATCCACCACTACCCAAGGCAGTGCTAACTTGTGCAAACATTTTGGCGAGTTCCCTCCCAGGATCTTTCTCTCTGCCCGTGTGCTGGGTGGTCTCCTGGCTTTCAGCCCAGTGCTCTTTCCTCTCCTGTGCTCTTTCTACACCAGTGCTGCCATGGTCTGGTCCACTGGCTGGCAGATCACCATCCCATAAAAGCTTCTACAGGTGCACGTTCTGAGTCCCTGCCCAGAACGACTGAACCAAATCTTTTGGAGCAGACACCAGGAATCTGAGTCTTAACAAGGCTTGCGGGTGACTGGGATGCAGATGGGAGTTCAGGAAGTCCTAAATTATGTCACTGCTACTCAGCTTGTGGTCTACTGTGTGAACTGTTACTGGACCGTGGCAAGATAACACAGAAGCTGAAACTTACGAATGTTTATATTAACCTGACATAACTGTGACACCCAAGCATGGGAGCCCTGAAAAAGAGTTTTGTTATATTTTACAAATATGTCAGTCCACAGTCAACTCCTTAAAAAAAAAAAAGAGAAAGGGGAATTTATGATAGTTGGTGCTGTGGGGACAGATGAGGGGAAGAGCACATGAGACTTTATTTTCTTTATTTAAAAAGAATATCCAGGTTGGGTGCAGTGGCTCACATCTGTAATCCCAGCACTTTGGAAAGCCGAGATGGGAGGATCACTTGAGGCCAGGAGTTCAAGACCAGACTGGACAACATAGTGATACCCCGTCCCTACAAAAAAAAATTGCTGCACCCTTGGTCCCAGATACTTGGCAGGCAAAGGCAGGAGGATTGCTTGAACCCAGGAATTCAAGGCTGCAGTGAACTGTGATTGTGCCACTGCACTCCAGCATGGGCAACATAGTGAGACCTGTCTCAAAAAAATAAATAAATAAATAAACAAATATATATATATATATATATATATGCCTTGGCAATGGGGGCAGACTCTATAAAAATAAAAAAGCAAAAAAACTGGTCCTTGACCACAGATAGTTTGAGAAGCACTGATCTACACCATCTGTGTCTCTTTTTAGACAAACCTGCTTGTTTCAAACAGGAACCTACTATAGCTGCAGCCACTTGCAAGGGTCGCTTCTAAAATGGATGCTTGTTAAGAAAATTTAACTTGGTGTGGAAGAATAAGCAGGAGCTAGACTTTGGTCTTTAGGAAAAAAGGGAGCCGTGGAGGGTTTTTTAAGGCAGGGAAATGGCAAGATCAGATTTCGTCTCTATAGAGAGTGGACAAGACTGGGCACAGGAGGCTGCGTTGGGAAGCAGTTGCAGTTGTCCAGACGAGGGATGATGGTAGGTCAGAGCCATGTTGGGGCAGATGAAGAAAAGTGGATAAGTTCAAGAGGTGTGCTTTCTGTCCTCACTTTTGTTAAAAAAGTCACTTTCAAATACATGTGACATGAGGAAGAGAATGCGTTTATTCCATGGCTTGGCTTTGTTTCCTAGGTATCTTAATCCTGATGGTTTTGCACAACAGTCAGCTTTCTGTGCTATTTATTTATGTAAAAGGATAGGTAAAGTGCTGCATGGCTTGTGTTTGCCCACAGTCTGCCTGCTGCCTGTCTTCACTCTGAATCAGCACCTAGTGCTCTAGGACAGGCGTCCCCAAACTACCGCCCGCAGGCCGCATGCAACCCCCCTGAGGCCATTTATCCGGCCCCCGCCACACTTCAGGAAGGGGCACCTCTTTCATTGGTGGTCAGTGAGAGGAGCACCGTATATGGTGGCCCTCCAACGGTTTGAGGGACAGTGAACTGGCCCCCTGTGTTAAAAGTTTGGGGACGCCTGCTCTAGGAGCTTGATGATGAGGGGAGGAGGGTGTCACCCTGTGCCTTGTCTTTGTTGACAAGGACAAGGGCCTGGAGAGCACAGTTCCAGTCTTAATTACTATCAAGAATCTGGCTACTGGCATTTCATCTTGGATCTTACAATCAAAGAACACAATGTTCATTATATTTCAGAAACCAAAGAAATTAGTCAGAATATTTAATAGAATTTATTGAGAATATGATTTTTCCAGAAATACATAGGTATAAAAACAATTAAAGCTTTTAGTATTGCTGCCTGCAGATGATATGTACTTGCTTAAATCACTGATAATTTCTGATAAATCACTGATAAATCACTGGTAATTCAATTCAATGTGTATTTATTGAGGAGCTACTCAGTTTCTAGCATGGTTGATGCAGTGATTCCCAGACTCTGGACTTAACTGATCAGTAATGTTCCGTATAAAATTGGGGAGAGTCTAACCTAGGGTTGCCTCCCTTTTATCAAGTAAGAATCTAGAACTGGCCGGGCGCGGTGGCTCAAGCCTGTAATCCCAGCACTTTGGGAGGCCGAGGCGGGTGGATCACGAGGTCAAGAGATCAAGACCATCCTGGTCAACATGGTGAAACCCCGTCTCTACTAAAGGTGCAAAAAACTAGCTGGGCATGGTGGCGCGTGCCTGTAATCCCAGCTACTCCGGAGGCTGAGGCAGGAGAATTGCCTGAACCCAGGAGGCGGAGGTTGCGGTGAGCCGAGATCGCGCCATTGCACTCCAGCCTGGGTAACAAGAGCGAAACTCCGTCTCAAAAAAAAAAAAAAAAAAAAAAAAAAAAAAAGAATCTAGAACTGGATTAATAATTTTTATATCTACTATCCCCATGAACTAAAAAAATTAACACCAAAGAGTGGGAAGTGGCCAAGAAAAGATTCTGCGTTATCACCATTACTTTTTAATTTAATTTTTATTTTTTTGAGCCTGTGTCACCCAGGCTGGAGTGCAGTGGTGTGATCTCAGCTCACTGCAATCTCAGTCTCCTGGGCTTATCCACTACTTTTATAAAATTCAAATTTACTGAGACATAATTTACACATGATAAAAGGCACCCATCTTAAGTGAGAAAGAAAAGTAGAAAGGACAAAAATCTTTGATTATAGAACAGTTATCAAAAAGGAACAAATTAAGGTTTTGAAAAACTCATAATTCACATTTATGTTTCTCTTTTTGCCATGGGTTGGTGAAAGTGTCATCAGGGACTGGTGCACAGGTAAAAGTGAGCAGCCGCTATCCCAGGAGTGGCTTTAAAAGGGGAATTTTTTGGCCAGGAGCAATGGCTCACATCTGTAATCCCAGCACTTTGGGAGGCCAAGGCGGGCAGATCACAAGGTCAGGAGATCGAGACCATCCTTGCTAACACAGTGAAACCCTGTCTCTACTAAAAATACAAAAAATCAGCCGGGTGTGGTGGCATGCACCTGTCATCCTAGCTACTCAGGTGGCTGAAGCAGGAGAATCGCATGAACCCTGGAGGCAGAGGCTGCAATGAGCTGAGATCCCTGCATTCCAGCCTGGGTGACAGAGTGAGACTCGGTCTCAAAAAAAAAAGGAGGGGGATGAACCTTTCTAAATACAAAGAGCCTTAGAGATAGCCATTGATGATCCATTGCCAGAGAATGGGAAGTGGTAGGCGAGGGTACCCCTCAAGGGAGGGTGATTGACTGTAGAGTCAGGGGAGACCATTCTTGAGAACTCACTCCTTCCTTCATTACCTCCAGCCAATTTGCTTTTTTGTCTCCCATTTAGCCTATCAACTTATCACCGTGGTGATCGCAGCAGCGGGAGGTGGGCTCCTGCTTATCCTAGGCATCGCACTGATCGTTACTTGTTGCAGGTAAGTGATGAGAGTTCAGATTCCAGTCCTGTTTCTTTGCCTGGACTATACAAGGATCAATTGTTATTCTTTTACAGAATACTTGAGACGGTTCACAGTATTAAATCATAATGTATGACTAACCCATTTTTAAAAAGGAGAATAGACAACCGTTAATCTACTCCCAACTCTGTTAGAATTTACAATAGTTGGTGCCTGTGAGAAAAAAGAAGGGGAGTAAATGGAACTTTATTTTATTATAAAATAATAGCCAAAAACACAGCAGGAAAAGAAAAAAGAAATAAATTGGGCTTCATCAGAATTTAAAACTTTTGTACTCCAAAGGACACTATCAAAAAAGTAAAAAGACTCCCATACTTGCAAATATGGATTGCATGAAAAAATAGTTGCAAATTATATGTCTAGTAAGGGTCTTGTACGAGAATATAGAAAGAACTCTTACAACTCAACAACCTAATTTTTAAAATGGACAAAAAACTTGAATAGACATTTCTTCAAAGAAGATACACAAATGGCCAGTAAGCACATTGTCTTAGTCCATTTGTGTTGCTGTAAAGGAATACCTGAGGCTGGGTGTATTCGTGCGTTTTCACACTGCTGATAAAGAAATACCCGAGACTGGGCAGTCTGCAACAGAAAGAGGTTTAATGAACTTACAGTTCCATGTGGTTGGGGAAGCCTCACCATCATGATGGAAGGCAAGGAGGAGCAAGTCTCGTCTTACATGAATGGCAGCAGGCAAAGAGAGAGCTTGTGCTGGGGAACTCCCCCTATAGAACCATCAGATCTCATGAGACTCATTTACTATCTTGAGAATAGCATGTGAAAGACCCACCCCCATGATTCAGCCACCTCCCATCAGGTCTCTCCCACAATACATTGGAATTCAAGATGAGATTTGGGTGGGGACGTATCACTGGATAATTTATAAAGAAAAAGGTTTATTTGGCTCATGACTCTGATGGCTGGAAAGCTTGAGATTGGGCATCAATACCTGGCGAGGGCCTCAGGCTGCTTCCACTCCTGGAGGAAGATGAAGGGAGCCGCCTGATGAGAAAGGAAACGAGAGATGAGGGGCTGGGGGAGACATATCAGGCTCTTCTTAACAACCAGCTCTCCCAGGAAAGGCATTAGTCATTTCATGAGAGATCTGCCCTCATGGCCCAAACACCTCCCTATAAGCTCCACCCCCAGCACCTCCACACTGGGGATTAAATTTCAACATGCGACTCGGTGGGGACAAACCATATCCCAATTATAGCACACACAAAAGGATGATCAACATCATTACTCACCTAGAACATGCAAATCAAAACCACCATGAAACATCACTTCACATCTACTTTAACTATTAAAAACAAAACGCAGAAAATAGTGGCCGGGCGCAGTGGCTCAGGCTGTAATCCCAACACTTTGGGAGGCCTAGGTGGGTGGATCACTTCAGGTCAGGAGTTCGAGACCAGCCTGGCCAACACAGTGAAACCCCATCTCTACCAAAAATTTAAAAACTTATCCAGGCATGGTGGTGCACACCTGTAATCCCAGCTACTTGGGAGGCTGAGGCAAGAGAATCACATGAACCCAGGAGGCAGAGGTTGCAGTGAGCCGAGATCATGCCACTGCACTTCAGCCTCTGAGCCAGACTCTGTCTCAAAAAAAGAAAAGAAAAGAAAAAAAAAGAACACCCAGAACACAGAAAATACCAAGCATCATTGGTGAGGATGTGGAAAAATTAGAATCCCTGTACACTACTGGTGGGAATGTAAAATTGTGCAGCCGCTTTGAAAGAGTCTGAAAGTTAAAGACAGAGTTACCATTGGACCCAGCACTTCCACTCTTAGGTATATCAAGAGAAGTGAAAAGGTATACTCACTCAAAAACTTTACATGAGTGTTCACAGCAACATTATTCATAATAGCCAAAAGGTGAAAACTCTACTAGTTTGTCAATGGATAAACAAAATATGATCTATTTATACAATTGATCTATTTATTCAATTATACAATTGAAATATTATTGAGGCATAAAACGAATAAAGTACTGATACATGCTATAACATGGGTGAACTTTGAAAATACACTAAGTGAAACAAGCCAGCCCCAAAAGACCACCTATTGTGTGACTCCGTTTATATGACCTATCTGAAATAGGCAAATCTAATAGAGTTGGCAGTAGGTTAATGGTTGTCTAGGGCTAGGCTGGTGGGGAAAGGGGGAGAATTGGAAGATGGTGGCTTAGGGGTATGGAGTTTCTTCTTGGGATGATGAAACTGCTCTGAAATTGTGATGATGGTTGCACAAGTCTGAATATGCCAAAAACCATTAAATGAGTGAATTGCGTAGTATGTGAACTGTTTCTCAGTAAAGCTATATACAGAGAGAAAGAGAAGCAGACAAAGAAAGAAAGATGAAATATTTTTGCAGTAGAGAGGTGGTAGCAGCAATGTGGGATGAGCAGTAAGCCTGGCTCTAGGCTTCCTGGAAGCCACTGAGATTGAGTTTTTACTGGAAAAGGTAGGGAAAGGATGAAATGGATTCCCCTTCTCTGTGATGATCTATTCAGATAAGGGAAAATTATGACCTCTGACTGAGATGATGATAATGGCAGGAATTATCTAGATGTAACAGATGGGAGGAACCTCCCAAATTAGCTAGTTATCTTTTCTCCCATTGACATGAAGGACATTTTAAGATATCCTCTGTCTCCTAAAAGGCCACAAAGAGTAATTTGCCTTAACTGCCCAAGCAGGAATGCAGGCCTTATGGTATAGCCTTTGCCTGTCATTTTCCAAATTGCCATCAAATCATCAAAGATAAGCCATATGAGTGGAAATAAACTTCAGGGGATGAGATTAGGCATGGTTACCTAGAAGGGCATGACCTGAGCGCTCAGGGGACAGAAGTCTCATATTTGCTACGTGTTCTGTACCGTGTGGTGTATCCATTGGGGGAGAAGCCTGTGCCTGCTGGCTTTTGAGAAGAGAAGGCAGTTATGCATGAGTATGTCATCATCTGAGCCTGGGTACCCCACCCACCAGGAAGCAACACAGTGGCAGGTCTGTTCCCAACTTCCATAGTGAGCCAGCGCCTAGCCACATACTGGACATTTGCTTTTATGACCCTGAATCACTTTGTGCCTTCCCTAGAATACTTGTTTGCAGGTTAAGTGAGGTAGAAAGAATAAAACTTCAGATAATTCTATCTCTGACAAGTATGATTTAAAATTTCTGATCCTGGGCCCCTTAGAGAGGTGAAGAACACAGATTCCAACAATTCACGGTCAGTAAAATCTCATGAGTAGCGTTGCTCTAACCTGCTGAAGTGAGAATTTGTATAGGTCTATAAATAGGTGAGCTTTTTCATAAACAAACCATTCTGTTTTTGTGACTTGTGAAATATTTGCTTTGTGTGGTAGAAAGAGCACTGTCTGGGGAGTTGGGACGCCTGACTTCTAGTTCCAACCGTTCTAGTAGCAAAAGATGACCCAGGGGACAAGTCAGGTCTCTTTACTAAGCTGGAGCTGCCCCAGCCCATCTCCAGAGCTCCTGACTCAGTTAATCTGGGGGAGACCCAGACTCCCCATGTAAATTTTAATGCTTGGCAGCTTGGGATCCACTGGACTAGAATGAATCTAAGGGCTCTTCTGGCTCCAGCATTCTGTGAATTTATGAGCCTTATTTTCCTGGCCACCTCCACGACACAGTGATCTCTGTCCTTCAGAAGAGTCTAAATCTGCTCTATTGCCACTGTTTTTGTCCCCCGACCCCCTGATAATCTGGCCCTTTGAGATTGGAAGACTTTTTATATCTTTTTTTACACCTAACTGCATATTTACTTGTTGTAGGCAAATACCAAATAGCAATAATAATAACACTCCTCACTGGGCAGTGACAAAGAAATACAACGATAGCTTTCAGTCGAATTTACCTTATAAAATAATAGTTGGTGCTTTCACAGATATTACTTCTTTAAAGAATTAAGCCTTACACATATTTTTGTATCCCACAGAAAGAATAAAAATGACATAAGCAAACTCATCTTCAAAAGTGGAGATTTCCAAATGTCCCCATACGCGGAATACCCCAAAAATCCTCGCTCACAAGAATGGGGCCGAGAAGCTATTGAAATGCATGAGAATGGAAGTACCAAAAACCTCCTCCAGATGACGGATGTGTACTACTCGGTGTGTATTCCTGTGTCAGGACAACCCCAGGGCCCCCAGCTCCTCTGAGAAGTAAAGGAATTCTGTTTTGTTGTAGTAAAAGCATTACAGTTAGTTAAGGGTTTAAAGAGTAGCGGCATGAACCCCTGATTTACATATTTTACTATTCAGTTTACTCACAGTCTATTTGCATGGTACTTCTCAGGGTTGCTGTTGAGGTGTGAAGGATATTTTCATAGAGCACATTATAATAACCTTCTTGCTATTAAACTTGCTTTTAAGTCATAGGAATGAAAACTGAAAGGTAGAGCAAGAATTTCGTGATACTTAGCCTTGGGCCCTTTCATGTGAATCTCCCATCTGCCATGCTTACCTTGTATGGTTAGGTGCTTAAAGCTAGGGGATTGGTGGCTGGGCACAGTGGCTCACACCTGTAATCTCAGCACATTGGGAGACCAAGGTGGGCAGATCTCATGAGTCCAGGAGTTTGAGACCAGCCTGGGCAACATGGCAAAACCATGTTTTTACAGAAACCACACTCATCTCTACAAAAAAATTAGCCTGGTGTGGTGGTGCACGCCTGTCGTTCCAGCTGTTTGGGAGGCTGAGGTGGAAAGATTGCTTAAGTCTGGGAGCAATCTTAAGTAGTGAGCCGAGATTGCACCACTACACTCTAGCCTGGGCAACAGAGTGAGATCCTACCTCAAAAAAACAAAAATAAACAACAACAACAAAAAACCATGGGGAAAAGGTATAAAGAGGACAATAATTCAATGTTGTCCTCAACAAGCACTTCTCAGAGGTTTAAAGATTGTGTATTCAGTAGGCCTTTAATAATTTGCCATGTCCAGCCTGGAGACAACCTTGAACCCTTGCTGCTTCTCTACCACGCTAAATTTAACCTGTGTTGTATTCCTGTGCACTGTCCGGCTCGTTTCACACCACTGTTTCAACCATAAAGCAAACATGAACAGCCATATCTGAGCTGAAAAGTAAACAGATATCAGGTGACTTCTCATGCCATCTGGGGCCGTTTGAGGAACAGTAATAAATGTGAAACCTTGCCCCGTGGGGACTTAATGGTGCTCGGCAGTCTTGTTACAGAAACCACAGTCCCTCTGGTTGCCATGGGAATTAACCATGAGGATTCAGACTTTGGATAGGAGGGGCAAGTTTGTTCATGCTAAGGAGATGTTTATTTCCATAGACTCTTTTTTGAAAAAATTGAACCTAGAGGAAGAACAGAAAGTTATAAATAAGGAAAAAGGTAAACATAAACAGAGATACAAACTTAGCTCTAGTGAAAATATTCCCATGGATATTTCTGCACAGGGCTTTGTTTCTCTGTTCCTCAGGAAAGTCCTCTTCCTTTACTAACCGATGCCATAACTGAGCAGGTATTTTACTCAGGTGTGTCCCCACACTCACATCCTTTGCTCGGGACTCCTCAGCCCGAGCACGTTACAGTAACTAGCAACAAACAGGCCTGTGGTATCATAGGAACCAGCTTCACCACATGTTTTCATGGCATTAGCTAAAGAGTTATATTCAAGAAAGTAAATGAACCCCATTTTTATTCAAAAGATAGCAGGCTAACCACGCACAGTGGCTCATGCCTATAATACCTATAATCGCTTTGGGAGGCCAAGGTGGGGGGATTGCTTGAGCCTAGGAGTTCAAGACCAGCCTGGGCAACATGGCGAGACCCTGTCTCTATAAATTTTTTTTTTAATTAGCGAGGCATGGTGGTACACCCCTGTAGTCCCAGCTACTCAGGAGGCTAAAGCAGGAGGATCACTCGAGCCCAGGAGGTCGAGGCTACAGTGAATAGTGTTTGTGCCATTGCACTCCAGGCTGGGCAACAGAGCAAGACCCTGTCTCAAAGGAAAAAAAAAATAGCTGGCTGAGCAGTCTGTAGAGGCAAAGCCTAAGCTTAGGGTATGAAGCTATCACCTGGGTAGACAAGCTGTTCCTCACAGTGGGCTCAGGTGTGGTCCAGGTGATTTCCATGTTGGGCTCTCCTATGGCTCACTTATGATACACGGTATCTAATGTTTTATTTCTGCCAAAAAAACTTTTACCTTGGTGCTACTATGAAGGCCTCCTCGAAGTAGCCCCTCTTATTCAAAAGGAACCTTTCTTTGAGATCAAACTGGTCACCTGAGGATTGCTGTTGGCCTCCTGGTTTGGGGACCTACCTAACTCCACCTGCAGCAGGGTGGTTGTAGGACCCTACAATGGTCAGTTCCCTCCTTTGCATCAGTTGCCTTCTGCATGGTAGCAAAGACAGGAGGGATTTAAAGTGGGTTGTGCTCCACAGAGAAAGATACTATAAAAAACATTAGAAATAATCAGTAGAAACACATCCATACAGGATAAAGCCAGGTCTTTTTCTACATTGGTCTAAAGTCACTGGGATTTAACACTATAATTTAAACCCAAGAATGATGAACTGATGTTTCTTCTTTTCTCTTTGGTAACCAGCCCACAAGTGTAAGGAATCCAGAACTTGAACGAAACGGACTCTACCCGGCCTACACTGGACTGCCAGGATCACGGCATTCTTGCATTTTTCCCGGACAGTATAATCCATCTTTCATCAGTGATGAAAGCAGAAGAAGAGACTACTTTTAAGTCCAGGAGAGAGAGGGACTCATTGCTCTAAGCCAGTCGCCTGGGACCTCTGTGGCTCAGAGGACTGCACCAGGAGGAGGCTGCACCCAGGATTTGTCGGAGCCATACTGAGTGGCAGGCAGGAAGAGGGATAGGCATGCGGGGCGTGACCACAGTGGAGGGAACAGGTGGATGTGGAACCACGGGCTGCTCATTCGGCACCTTTGTTGTTACTGTGAACATGAATGTGGGCCAGTAAGTACCAAGAGAGTCTCTCTGAGTGACCACACAGCACTGGCACCAGGGTGGCTAGTAGCCAGGGCACACCACTAGGCATCAGTGCAGGGACCTGGTTTTCCCTTCGTTTGCACTTTAGTAAATTGGGTGGGAGGTTTCCTTTTGGATCTGTTTCAAGCCTCTTCCAGAAAGAAGGCTTCCTTACCTGAGACACTTCCACAAGCAGCAATTTGGTGATTCCTTTGCATCAAAATTCTAGCTTGTTAGTTACTTTCGTGCCCAGTGCCTGTGTGCTAAACAACAGATGAGGATGAGCATACCACTTAAGTCTGAAGATGTCACTGTTGAATGGACGGTGTTTTAATATGTTTCTCGATTGTCTTATGCTACAGTTTCCAAGCCAATCCCACAATGAGGAAATGAAATGTATGAGGCACAGCACACAACTGCAATGTGTTTTTTTTTTAAGTGTAGGTCTTAAATTTTATTTAAGACTTTTGTTTAAAATCTCTTTGCAGTTAAATCTCACTTTTTCAAACAAGCCTGGATCAGGGCAAAACAGCTGATACTTGGTTTTAGCTGGAGGCTCGGGAGGCAGATTGCAGGCAGAGGGGCAGTTTTCATCATGAGGGCACAGCCTGGGGCCTGGGGCTCTGACCACCACCATGGAGGTCAGAGGCAGCTGTGTATGAAGGAGAATCAAACTAGATGCAGGTTTCAGCACTACAGGAAAGCAGCCTGGTGAGCCCCCGCAGCTGGATGTGATTAGACGGATGGCTGAATCAGCAGGTTGGAGTTCCTGCATCACCAGTGCTTTGGGAAGCTGCGGGGATTCCTCAGGAAGCACAGGGAACTGAGATGGAGCCACACGTGAGTTTGCTCACCTGCTACTGCATACTTTGTCCCCAGAATCTCGTCCACAAACCCCATGTAAACTTTCAACCACGCAAAGATGTTTACTTGGCTGAAGAAGTAACTTATTTTTTCTTACCCAGTCATTCGCACCTCTTTATGTGGCTGTGTAGCGCCCTCCACACCCAGGGTTATACTTCCAGTCAGCATGGGAGAACTGAAGACTTCCGGTTGCTCGAGGATCTGCGAGTTGACTTTTGAGAAGGAAGTTCACGTGTCTTATTTATTACCCTCGTGACGTGGGTCCTGCCAGGGAGACATCCAGTACTCAGTGTCTTTAATTGCCACCTGTGGAACTGTTTATTGGCCTGCTTTGGGGCATCCTGGTTTTGGTTGAATGGAGAGGAATACAGAGATAAAAGAATGTCTCCAGCCTGAAGCGGAGCCCCGCAACACACACATTCCTGGAAATGGTGCAGCCACTGGGGACAATTCTGCCCGAGTTGGTTGTTTCTTCAAGGTCCTCTAATCTCTTCACAGCATATGTAATCCCTGCTCTTTGCATAATCCTTGGCCGTGATGGTTTTAAGCACGCACTCCTGTGTCCCGTGGTCTCCCATCACTCACCATTATCTTGCTCTAACAAGAGCCCTCGTCAGGTGAGGTGCATTTTCGTAGTTAAATTGCACTCATTCATGAGAGAAATAAAAGAAGAGCTGTTTTCGTCACTGGAGGCTAACCTAAAATTTCAGAGCACCGCCTTTTTGAAATCTTGGACCTTGCCTCTCTCTTTCTGTAGAACCAATGGCCCTTTGTGGCTCAGGGCCTCACACCTAACTAGAAAGCTCCAAACTCCTGCAGCTCACCTGAGCTCACAGACTTGGCTTCTTGGCTCCTTCCGCAGCATCCCTGCTCATTCCTCAGGACCCGCAGCTGTGGGAAGAGCCACGTAGGAAGGCTATTCGCAGGCATACATTTCTGCCGCCTTCAGCTGACATAGCAGCTAACAAATCATCTCCTCTGTCGGAGCCAGAGCCTTCAGCTCTACAAAATGAAGTGTTCGGTCCCAAAAGCATTCTTGGGAAGAATCCCAACGTCCAGAAAACGGTGTCCTGTGAGTTCCCAGAATGCTTTCTTGTTTATGGGTTTCGTCTGTATGGAGTGGATTAAGAGTGTTTTGTTTTGTTGTTTTAACTGAGAAAAAAAAGGGGGGGCACCCTCAAGATTGAGTTCACATGGTCTCCAGAGTTTCCAGGGGGTGCGTGGGGGTGGGGAAGGCACCTCAGGCTCTTAGGGGGCATGAGTAAAGCACGGCTGTGACCCAGGGAGGAAGGGAGAGGCCAGCTTCATGCCTGCTTGGGGTTCCTAACTGCAGAAGGATCCCGCCTAGGCCGAGGGGAAATACCTGGTAGCGGAAGAGGTCTGGATGAACAGCTGGCACGCCGAGGCTCTCTGCCCAGACACAGTGCTCCGTGGCAGCCCCGGCAGCTCCTGCAACTGGGGTGCACAGATGCCACAGTCCTGCACCGATGTCCCACAGCTGGGGGAAGGTGAGAGGAAGGGGAAAGTGATGCATACCTGCTCAAGAGATGCTTAAACCTCTGTAGAGAAGAGCCAGGCCCAGGGGCACCTGTGTGTCCCATAACACCACAGCAGGAAAGGGTGGCTGGCTGGCTTCGCGGCGTCAGTGGTTTGGTTTAAGCTCCAGGGGTCTTATTGCCATTGTCTTTTCCTCTGCCCCTTGAGCCAACCCAAGGCCCTGAAGTCTGTTTCTTTAGGCGGATGAATTGGCATTCTCCTACTATGACCAGGCTCTGGGAAGGGCTTCTCACAGCACTCTCAAGAGGTGGGCATGGGAAGTGCCCAGTTCTCAGATACAAAAACATTCAGAGAGGGTAAATAACTTGCCTTGTAGAGGCAGGACCGAAACCCTCATCTGCCTGACTCCCCCTGCTGCTCTGCCCGCTGTAGCCCCCTGCCTCGCTGTCTTGGCACACAACTCACCATGCTGTGTTCCTTAAATATCAAAGAGGGCAAGAGAGAAAGGACCTTAAAAATAAGTTGTTTTTTTTTTAAGGAACCTTATTATTAAGGAGTAACTAAACTAATGACATGAAACTTTAAAAAATGCTGAATACCCTTTTGAAAATGTCCTTTCAGTTTGGTTTTTACATGTATTTCTCAGACACTTGTCATGAAGAAAATAGTGGCTGGCTTGTGCTGGCACGTGGCTTTGGCTATAGGAAGTGAAAGTTGAGGACCTGGTTTCTGACGTACGTGCATGTCAGACATACACATCCGTCTGAGGGCTGCTGGCCTTGTTCCCATGGTAAGGCCATGGCTCCCACATAGTGGAAGCATATTTTTCTGAAGGGTTTTCAGAATTGGGAACATATTTGGTGGAATGTCTTAAACGCATCTTCCTCCTTTGAGGGGAAGTATATTTTCAGAAGCAGCTAAATCATTTAGAGTCAAAATTGCTGTTAGGTGATTAATTCAAGCTGGCTGATGGTATCTGAGGTCAAACACTAAGATGTGACGATTGAGTTCTTAAAGAGGTAACTCATAGTGGGCCCAAGGGAGAAGGCAGCATCTTTGGTCTCTTAGCCTGGATGGCTACCTGAGAATATGCTGTTGAAGGATGACACCTATACAGATGTGAAAGTTCCCAGAGCAGGCACCTTCAGGCCACCCTCACATTTGGCTTTTAGGTGCCTGTGTAAAACTGCCCTGCCCCCTGGTGAAGTGCCTGGGTGTCCTGTAAGCCGGTTTAACTCTGCCTGAAGGAGAGGAGCTACCCAGTCCAGTTATACTTGGCTAAGTTTTGCCTAACACACCCAAAACTAGGGTTTGGACCCATAGTTCTAAAACACACCAGTTTTGAGACTACAGCACTTCTCTGGAGAGAGGAAGAATGTACAGTTCAGTATTTCAATGTTTTGCATTTTACTTGAAATTACCCTTAGTATCAGATTTTTTTTCCTATCTGAAACATTTTGTGGGGATGAGAAGGGACATTTCATTTCCTCCTCGACGAAGTGTCAGTCTGAGGTTCTCATGCATGTTTCTGGAAACTTGTAGAGTTTGCCTTTGAGTATGTTTTCTTTCTTTTTCTTTTCTCAAATCTCCAAGGAAGAGAACTGACTAAAATAGTAGAAACATTAAAGTATTAAATGCCAATTAATTTGTTGCACTAAAGTATCTTCATTAGCATTACACTTCATCACATCTGGTGTGAACTGTCACAGAAAAACCTATGAAACCAAAGGGGACCATTTAGGTCTATAAAGAGACAGGTCTGAGACTAGCTCTGTCACCTGGGCATTTTCAAAGAGAACATTTTGGAGAATTTGCATATTCTGATTTTTTTTTTTTAATGCGCTTAACACACTTCATTACAGATTTCTTGGGTAGGGAGGATGGGATAGGCCAGGGATGGGATGGAATCAGTTCTGCCTAGGAAACTAATCTGACTCATTTACCTTTCTGTGTTAACCTTGGCCTGTCCTGAAAAGAGAATGACTGTTTCACCATGAGTTGCTCTGAGTTTTGTTAATGTTTTGTGTTGCTGGTTTGATGGTTGAATGAAGCATGTAGCTGGAATAGGAACTTTCAGAGTTTTCGCGTTGTCCTGGATTTCTCTTTGTAAACCTTTAAACCTTAGCCCCTGATTGATTGTGTTAAACCCATTATGAGAATGTTATTTAAAGTTGTATTATAATTGCAACCTCCACTAATTATTCAGTACTGTAGCAGCAAAGTATTATTTGTAAGAATTTGGTTATTTTTATACGTATATCCACTATAAGTCTGGCGTTCTAGTCAGTAAAACGATGCAATAAAATTAATATCATTTTCGTTGTGTGGTTTCCTCTTACTAACAAGAAAGCCAGAACAGAATGCAACAAGTTACTTTTCAGGAGGGCATCACTTAAACAACAGAACAGTTGTACAGTGAACTTCCACATGACAAATGTGGAGGCTGCGTCATTTCTGTATTTGCAGTGCCCAGCATTGGAGAAATACACTTTTGATGATGGATAGACAAATGGATGGACAGATGGGTGGACAGATGGGTGGAAGGATTGACAAACAGACCTGAATGGCAGAAAGCCAAACTTAGATATAATGCCTGCTTTTGTTTATGTGAATTGGAGAGCACAATTGACGACTTCAGACACTTGCAATTTCCTCTTTATTGTCTCCCACTACCCCGTCCATGTCAACTCTTCATGTGTTGGAGGAGAGGGGAAAGTAAGCCTATGTGTTCTCTGTTGGGGAGAATCTGCAGAACCTCAAGATGGTGGACCATGGACCTTACACTCATGGTGGCCAAGGGATGTTGCTGCCTGTCTAGATATACATTCATGAATTAATTGCTTCCTTGGATGCCTTGTAGGTCAGGGATCATGAGCCTCTCATATGCTTTGCGGCAAAAACCTTGGCACTGGGGAGGCCACTAATGGCAGTTTGGGGCATGAAGGTGACCTTTTGGTGGGTCGGATCAGGGCTATGGCCTATCAACCCAATGGAGGTGGCCAGTAGCACTATCCTCTCCTGAGCCAGCCCCACCCACTCAGCTCTCCCAGCCCCGAAGCTTACAGTCCCAACTGAGGTCTAAGTTTCTTTATCCGTTATACCAGTTTCTTTATCCATTCACCTATTGATGGGTACTTAGGAACCCAGGACTGACCACTTTCTTGTTCCCGCTCAGCTTAGGCAGACTTACAAACATCACCTCATTTCCAGGAATCTTCTCTCCCCTCATACTAGTTTTTCTTTGTATTTTATTTTTTTAATTGTGTAAGATATACAACATGATGTTTTGATATATACAGTAAAATGGCTACTATAGTCAAGCAAATTGTTATATATATCATCTCACCGTTATGTGTGAGTTGGGGGTGGAGGGGGTAAGAGCACCTAAAATCTACTCTCAGCAAATTTTCAACATGCAACACAGTATTATTAACTATGGTACTCAGGCTGTACATTAGATCCCTAGGCTGATTTATCTGACATAACTGCAAGTATGTACCCTTTGATAGATTTCTCCCCAATTCTTTGCCGCACCCCCGCCCCCCGCAACGGTTCTACTCTCTGTTTCTATGAGTTCGACTTTTTTTTTTTTTTTTTTTTTTTTTTTTTTTTTTTTTTTTGAGACGGAGTTTCGCTCTTGTTAACCCAGGCTGGAGTGCAATGGCACGATCTCGGCTCACCGCAACCTCCGCCTCCTGGGTTCAGGCAATTCTCCTGCCTCAGCCTCCCGAGTAGCTGGGATTACAGGCACGTGCCACCATGCCCAGCTAGTTTTTTTGTATTTTTAGTAGAGACGGGGTTTCACCATGTTGACCAGGATGGTCTCGATCTCTTGACCTCGTGATCCACCCGCCTCGGCCTCCCAAAGTGCTGGGATTACAGAGTTCAACTTTTTTAGATTCCACACATAAGTGAGATCACTCAGTGTTTGCCTTTCTGCGCCTGGCTTATTTCACTTAGCATAATGTCCTCCAGGTTCTTCATGGCCCACATCGTTGCAAATAGCAGGATCTCTGTTTTTAAATACTGAATAATATTATATACCACAGTTTCTTTATCCATTCGTCTGTTGATGGGTACTTAGCTTGTTTCCCTGTTTTGGCCCTTGTGAATAATGCTGCACCCTGGTAATTGTTTTGAACCTAAGGTGGAAGGAACTTCCGCTGTGCACGATAACCTGGCGCAAGTGCATGCTTCTCCTGCTTGTGCCTCTGACCCGGCAGTGCAGAACCTCCACCTCAGGCTTTGATGACCAGCAAGTAAAGAGCTAAAAAGTGGTTTTAGACTGTTGCTCTAAATCTCAGCGATGACCAATAAGCGATTTTCCAGTTGCTTGGGAAGTAGAAGGCAAGGGGTACAATGCGTAGATCATGCAGGTCAGAGTCCTCTCCCATGTTGGATATTGAAGGGCTGTGGCAGGTTTCAATTGCTAGGGCTGGACTGTGGTAACCACTTGACACAGTGAGCAGGAACTTCAGGTCAGAAAGATAAAAAGACGCCAGGAGTATAGATATTTATGTTGATTTCTACTGACCCCATAAATACTTGCAGCACCATCAGCTGGTACAAGACAGTCCCCAACCATTTTGTGGCTGTTTTCCCAGATCATGATGTCAGGCCTAAGAGGCTGCCCAGCTCTTTGAGCCTCGGTATCCTGCTCAGTAAAGTGGGGATAATAACCCTTGTCTCACAGAGCTGTCGTGAGGGTTAAAGAAGAGCACTCGTAAGAAAACACAGTAAGTGTTTCCTATGATTTCCATACAAATCGACATAAATATCTTTACTCCTGACATCTTTCTATCTTTCTGACCTGAAGTTCCTGCTCACTGTGCCAAGTGGCTACCACAATCCAGCCCTAGAAATGGAAAACTATGAAGAAATAGCACATTGATTCTCTTCAGTAAGGCCCTCCAGTTACCAAAAAAGGCAAGTGTCACCTTGGGAAGCTGAGCGGGGAGAATCACTAGGCATTCAAGAGCAGCCTGGACAACAGAGCAAGACCCTGTTTCTACAAAAAACTGTTTTAAAATTAGCCAGGCATGGTGGCTTATGGCTGTCGTCTCAGCTACTCAGGAGGCTGAGGCTGGAGGATCGCTTGAGTCCAAGAGTTCAAGGCTGCAGTGAGCTAGGATTAAGTCACTGCACTCCAGCTTAGGTGACAGAATAAGACACCATCATCACCAACAACAAAATAGAGGAAAGACAGGTGCAGAATTAAATGCCATCTCCATGCTGGTATGCTAGTAACCGCCCCTGAAGACCTTGGACTTGTGGTCAAAGTATTCTCATCATTTCCCCTTTTTTCCTCCTCCAACCTGTTTCCTATATTATGGAGGGATTAGTGGGCTCAAAATCATAAATTCTGTGGGGATAGGAACCAATCCTGTCCTTGTTAAATGTTATCTGCTCAGTGCCTGGCACCTAGTAGGCATTCACTAAAACAAAGAATGAGTAAGTTGTCAGACCAATCAGGCCACAAAATAAATTATGACAAAGATTCTGGAGCTCTAGCCCCTCTAGTAGCTGCAGGCTGATGACTGGCTGATGGAGGAAAAATATATAGACAGCTATAACATGTCACTGAACAGGAGCACTTAGCAAAGATCTCTTGTAGCAAAGCCCAGGCAAACATTTGTGGAGGAAGCACCTTTAAAATACACTAGGAAAGTCCTTTCCCTGGGGAACTGTGGAACTGTATAACAGAATCTCACTCAACAATTTAAAGGAACAAAGTACTTCAACAGGCAATGACGTGGGTGAGTCTCAGCGCATTGTGCTAAGTGCAGAAAGCTGAACACAAAAACTCTCAAAGCATTGTACTAAGTGAAAAAAGCTGGGCACAAAAGGCTTTTCCATTTATATTACATTCTGGAAAAGAAAAAACTGTAGGAACAAAACAGATGAGTGGTTGCCTGAAGGTGGAGAAGGAGATTTCTGCTTTTTACCAAATATGTCCGGCTTTCTTCCTTCCAGGTGCATGATAGGATGTACTTTTCTACCCCTTTGAAGTGTGGCCCTGTGACTTGCTTTGATCAAAGAAATGTAAATGGGAGTGAAACGTGATGTTCACTTCTCTAGCCTCAGAAATCGCAGAAATATGTGCTGGGATGGAGTCGTTTGTGGCCTGGGACACTGAGCACCTCAGATGAACATAGTGCGTTGCTGACCAGAGTTGAACTGGTATGAGAAATAAACGTTGTTGTGTTAAGGGACAGATTTAGGCATCACTTGACTTGTTACTGCATTCCTTAGCTGACCCTGATGAGTACAGCTCTCCAAAAATAACCCTAGTTACTGCAGTTCTTACAAATGGTTTGATTCTTAGTTCAGTGCCATGGGACATTTATGTTATCTTTTTTTTTTTTTTTTTTTTTTTTTTTTTTTTGAGACAAGTTGTTATTATATTGCCCAGGATGAAGTGCAGTGGTGCAATCAGAGCTCACTATAACCTCAAACTCCTGGGCTCAAGCAATTCTCCCATTCCACCACAGCCTCCGGAGTAGCTTAGACTACAGGCGTGTACCACCAGGCCCAGCTAATTTTTTTTTTTTAATTTTTCTTTAGAGATAAGGTCTTGTCATGTTGCCCAGGCTGGTCTTGAACTCCTGGCCTCAAGCAGTCCTCCTGCCTCAGCCTCCCAAAGTGTTGAGATTATAGGCATGAGCCACCATGCCCAGCCCCATTTATGATTATCATTAACATTCTTCAACTACGTTGTTTTAATTTGTTTTAAAGAATTTAAATCAGAAGTACTTATTGTGTGGCTAATATTTGCCAAAGCTGCTGTGTGAAGCTTTGTGATACGAGTGAGCTGTTGAACCAGAAGTACCTAGATTTGAAACTCACCTCTACTGCAGTGAGACCTTGATGAATTTCTTAACTACTACAGTCATTCATTTCTGCCTCTATAAAATAGAAGTAGTGAAACCAGAGAATTTAGACGTATGCTGAGGGATTGAATGATAGGATGTCTCCAAGGTGTGTCTAAATGATAGGGTGCATCTAAGGCTCTGGCCCTGAAAGGAAGCAGGCGTGAGGTTCTGTGTATTAGGCTCTGTGGCAGGCACACTTGAAGCAGCAGTCTTGTTATATAATGGAAAAAACTAAAATATTAATTCCTCTGCCCTATCTCCTGCTTACTTCACAATTGTGCAAGTAAGGCATTATCACTGTGATATTATTATCATCAATAATATAAGATCAGCCAGGCACAGTATCTTATGCCTGTAATCCCAGCACTTTGGGAGGCCAAGGTAGGAGGATCTCTTGAGCCAGGAGTTCAGGACCAGCTTGGCCAACATGGCAAAACCCTGTCCCTA